CCATATATGGATCCACACTTCAGTTCCTCACCGTTGTAATAACATAACATTCATAGACGTTTCACAATAGTCACCGAATTGTTCACAGTAGTTATTGAATAATTGCAATTATTAACTGAATAATATCGATTGACTGTCTGCATGCTGTGTACATCCTTTTCAGTTCATCTAACCTGTAATTAAAGCATGTGGCTATTGATTGGATTACAATGACCTGGATCAGGTGATACTAAAGTGTGCACAGCCATTCTGGCCATGACTCACTGATCTTTGGTCAAAGATTGGTGGAGGGGAATTTGTCTGAAGGGGATTTTGTTAGCAGAGATGACATCATCGTTACAGGAATTTGTCCGGCTTTAGGTCACTCAGAAAGGACGGACAACTATTGGTAAAATAAACAGTTCAGTGAATCATCTGCTGTGTTGTAAACCCCCTGTGCATCTGCATGTGTTTCTGACAGAGCAGAACAGTGGGGTAAGGTCAGGACAAGCCACCCAGGGTGACCCGCTGTACTAGTGCAGTGTGTTGCTGTAGCCTGATAACTGGTTCGTATTATACTCTCAAAATTCCCTTGGGTGCCAACCTTTTGTTAGTTCTTTAAAGCCTAAAAATTGTACTTTACCTTGTACATCTCATTTGTATACATGATTCTTTAGAGAAGCGTTCATTGATGCAACCAAAGGTTCTTGTAAACTTGGAGAAAGGTCACTGTTTAGCTGCTTCACCCATAATCAGGAGCTTCTGTCTATTATTAACCAACTAGAGATGCAGCACTGCTCTGCTGTAGCAAATTGGTTCACCCAGTTGGTCCTTAATAGGCCCATTTATAGTGGAATCGAAAAAAAAGCTTTATATTATTGCAATTAATATTTGCACTATTGCCTAAATTACATTTATTTATTTTGACTTTTAATAGAACTTAATTGAAATATTACAATGTAATGAAAAAAAACATCAATAATTATTCAGAAACAAGTTGCATTAAAATCTTGAATTTTCCCGATCTGGCAACCCTGATCACAAGGAGTCAGGTTTGTTTCCCCATAGAAGTGTGTGGGTTTATAAAAGTAGTAAACGTGATGGATTTTCAAATGGCTCTTCAGTTTTATTGAATTTATCGTATATTACAGAGTATTTGTTGCAGCCCTAATCGCATCAGATCAAATTCAGAATTTTGTGAATTGGCACTCCCTTACTAATTATTGCTGTCTTTTTTTTAAAACACGCAGTTGGTCAGTGTTTCTTTAAAGTACTGATGATGTCCATGAAACGCTCAGAAAAGGGTATTATGATATTTGTCACTTAAATATTAATGTTAAATTGCTTGTGTGAGTGGTAGTGGTGTAAAAATGTATCAGTGCATCTTGATACGTCAGTCTGAATGTAGCTGCATTGATTTATGATCACTATTATCAATTAAAGTAACATTCAACGGAGCATGCACTCACTTGTTAGCCGTTCTCGGACTAGTTTGATATGTTAAAGTCGAAAAAGAGCCTCTGTTCCAGTACTGCGCTGCTCCAGTCATATTTGTTCAGTTTTTCAAAAATAGTTCTGAATCGTACCAAAATAATCGAATCAAATCAAGATTATGTGAACTGATTTTTAAAGAACTGTAATCAAATTGAATTGTGAGGTCAGAGATTTATACCCCTAGTGAGCGGTCATGCTCGGACACCTCGTCCCCTGCTGTAACCAGCCACCCAGAGCAGACTCTGGCACCTGGCCAGGGTTTAACTGGTGAGTGTTGCCTCCCTCGCTCTTTCATTCTATCTCTGTCTATCTCAGTCCCCTTTCTTCATCCTCCCAGCCTTCGACCTTCCACACTCACCACTCCCATCTTCTCTCCGAGTCAAGGTCCCTAAAGCTTTGCTGTCCATGTGCACAAGGTTTAAAGTGCCCTCTTTAAACAGACGAGCTACCTGTGGATTAGACAACTGTGGAACTGTCACGAGTTTGTTAGTGAAGAAAATTGTTCTACATAGAACCATGAACACTCAAAGAACACTTTGCATGATTAAAGGGTTCTTTGCGTAATAAAAAGGGTTCTTCAGACTGATAGAAAATGTGCTGTAGATGATTCTGTATAGAATGTTTTTGAAAATAATTATATTTAGCACCCAAGGGTTCTTATATTGTTACGATTTAAAGCTTGTAACAATAGAAGAACCCTTTTGGGTGCTATAGAGAACCATTTTCAAAAATCTTCTATATAGAATCGTCAATAGCACATTCATGCACATTTTCCATCAATATGAAGAATGTTTTCTTGATGCAAGGAACCCTTTAATCATGTAAAGTGTTCTTTGAGTGTTCATGGTTCTATATAGAACCATTTTCTGTACTAAAGAACCCTTGAAGCACCATCTTTTTTAAAAGTGTTTATTGTGATACCACTGCTGGAGATGGCATGATGCCAGTTTTTCCTCAGCCAGTACCAATCCGATATTGGAGCACTTTACATAAAGGGACATTCCGGCCAAAATTAAATATGTTACCATATTCACATCCTAAAGCTCTGCTGTGGAAGTCTTTAGAGTGAGGTTTTCTGGTTTAAAGACTAGGAAAACTCCCTTGTGATGATTTATCTTGGAGGTGGGAAGAACTACAAGCACTTTGGGGTGGATACTTGACAGCACGCTGCTTGTATGATGTATTTGTGCAATGCATGCTGGGTGTTGTAGTGACAGCTGTCAAAACTGTCGAAACGATTAGGCTGGGGGATGTAATGGTGCCCTGCAGAACATTAGAACATTGCAAAACATAGGAAATAACAAACTAAATGCTAGTTTTAGCCCGGAATCCCCCTTTAAGATGAGCATCTAAAAGTAGGCCTTACTCAGTTTACTACCTACCGGGAGCAGTATTTTCTGCTTCGGTGCTGATGCCTGGATTGGGATGCTATTTATTATCACTATATATCGTGATTATGACCATCCAAAGTTGTTCAGCATACTCGCTTCACAAAATCTGCCCCTTTTCAAGGGCATTTGCATATTACAGTCTTTTGAAATCAGTACTAGGAAAGCCAATTCTACAATATTGATTCAACAAACACAGTGTGGAGCTCTGACACTACAGCCCGTTTTCACCGTTGTTGTCCGAGAGTAAGTCATGATGATTAAGAATAGCCTCCACTTTGATTAAGAAGAAGGTCGTGACCCCTGCCATACCTCAAAGTCTTTGAGTGGCACAGCTGTTCTATTGTGAGAGCAGGAGACGCTAGGGCTTTAAAACATTTTCCATCTCGGGCACCTCCCTCTCTCTCTCTCCCTCTCTGTTCTGTCCTGCTCATGGCCGTTGCGTGTAACAGTAGATGGAGTTATTAGTCGGACTGTGGGATGGCTGAACAGGTGTTTTCCAAATGGCCTTTGAGTGGCATGGCGGCAGAAATGGCCTCTGTTTGGCCTTCGGCCTCTGACTGAGCCATTTGTCGAGTGGAGGTGTGAAAAGTCATTCCGCTTTAGCAGGCTTCGCTCGCTCATTACTCATTGATGGAGAGCAAAGGGGGGTTCATCTCTCGGATGGGGTCCACAGATACTGCACACACTCAGCAAGGGGTCAGTGTCATCACTTCACCACTAACTGATATGATATTCTGATGTGATATAGCCAAAACAACAGAATTCACACTGGTTTTTTGGTCAGCTGTGCCATGTTTCAGTTGTTTATCATTCATTCTGATTGTATGAGAGTGTATTATAATCACATTACGTGACAATATGTGCTTTTTTAAACACGTTTTGGATATTGTCAGCGCTTAAAGAACATTAAACAGCTGTATGTTTTGTTGAAAAGCATATGTAGTCCTAATTAGTCCAAATGGAACTGTTTTGCAGATGCAGATGTTTTGGCATTTTTGCCCAGCGTCACCTAAACATTCTGCTGTGCTGGAGTGCAATAAATATCTAATAATACATATAAACATCTGTCCGATTTTTTTTGTTAAAGCAAATATCTGCCAATACTGATATGATTCCCACAATATTGTACATCCCTAGTATTTTTCTGAAATACTGGCTCTTTTTTGTCTGTTTCAACTCAATCAAACCTCAGAAAAAAACAAATATTGTGTTGTGTATTGTGTATCAAGATAATGTTTTGTTATATCGTGATGTCATATTTCTGCCGCATCGCTGACCCTATTTGTACAACAGCGTGAATGTTTGATCGCGTGAACTGACTTTAAAAGCGGATCACCTTCTCTTCAGCCTGTAATAGCACCCAAAATTACTTCATTAACTTGAAGAAATGATATGATTTGCCAAATATATTAATCCTGAAATAAAGTAAAATATTATGGCTTAAATAATTATTCCGTCAAGGAGAGTAAAACCTTGTTTTCTGTGTGGTTTGGTTATCAGATTGCCTTTCACATTGACATCAGACCTGTTACTCATACCCAAACTGTTATCTTAACTGAGAAAAAAAAAATCTCGCATTAACTTTTTATCTGTGACGACGTTTGGAGAAACACTGATAGCTTTGTATTTGTACAAGGTGTCCTTGGCTGAAAAGGTACTTTTCTCTGATTGGTTTTGTGGCATATTTACTGCATGTAAAACAAACTAATGATGGTTTTTGCTGATTTTGGCATACTGAAAAAATAATAAAACATAAAATGTGGCCTGTGCAAAAGTTATGGCACATTTTATATTGTATGTGTTATTTGTTTCCAGTGTTAAATTCAGCAAAAAAGGTAAATTTGCAGAAAAAAGCTGTGTTTAAGGTTGATGTCTGTGGAGGATTGTGAACTTATTTCTACTCAGAAAAGAACGAAACCTAATAACTAAATTTGACCATAATTTGACTGTAAATACACCACTTGCATTGCCAAAAAGCTTGCATTGCTAGTTTGAATGAAAGTTATGGGTCAGTTAACATGCAGTAAATTCCAAGTTGGGTGAATTATTCCCATAAACTGCCGAGTCAGTTTGGAGCATAATTCTAATTCTAAGGAAGCACCAGTCTCACTCTCTCTTTCTGTTCTTTGCCTATAGCCGTCCAGCGAGGCCGCATGTCCAGCTCTCAGTCCAGTCCCGGCCAGTACCTGACCAATGGCAACGACCCATACAATGGTCAGCCCTACCTGTCTGGCTTTATCTCCCTGCTGCTGAGGGCTGAGCCGTATCCCACGTCCCGTTACGGGGCCCAGTGCATGCAGTCCAACAACCTAATGGGCATCGAAAACATCTGTGAGCTGGCAGCCCGTCTGCTCTTTAGTGCCGTAGAGTGGGCCAAGAACATCCCCTTCTTTCCTGACCTGCAACTCATGGACCAGGTAAAGCCACCAGACACAGCCCCCAGTACTGAAACTTTTCAAATGTGACAAACTACACACAAATCATTCTAATGAACATGAAAAGCATTTAGGACTTTAATCCAGAAATAACAATAGAGCTGAGGTCCTCAAGTCTGGACCTTGAAACCAGTTTCCAGTCTTGGATTTTGTAATCACTGGTAGTTAACTGAACTGTTGACTGGTCACCTACCAATTATTACAAAACCCAGGACCAGAAACTGGATTCAAAGTCCAGATTTGAAGACCTCTGCTCCAGAGGCACTGTATTACACAAAACGCTCCCAGAACAGGCCAGAATGGTATTACTTAGAAAAATGTGATGTGTGCTTTCTGGTGCGCACTTTCTATGCTAATAAAAGAAGACAGGAATTGTATTATGCCAGCAATTCCTCTAGTAAGTGCTACAAAATTTTGATAATATAGTGCACTTTAAGTGCTAGTGACACATACCATGCCACATGCCAGCAATTCCTTCAGCTAGGCTGTTCACCTACGGATCGTCATTAATGAAGTCCTTTTCTTCGGTTCCTAGGTGGCGCTGTTGCGCATGTCGTGGAGTGAGCTGTTCGTGCTGAATGCGGCACAGTGCTCCATGCCGTTGCACGTAGCTCCCCTGCTGGCTGCCGCTGGCTTGCACGCCTCACCCATGTCTGCAGAGCGTGTGGTGGCCTTCATGGACCATATCCGCGTCTTCCAGGAGCAAGTGGAGAAACTGAAGGCCTTGCAGGTGGACACAGCTGAGTACTCCTGCCTCAAGTCCATCGTGCTCTTCACTTCAGGTAAGAAGACTCTGGACAGTCTTATTATATATGTGTTCTTACTGAATGCTGCCAATTAAAAAAACATGGTTGTAATAACCCTGTGATGGACTGATGCCCTGTCCAGGGTGTATCCTGCCTTCTGCCCAATGACCGCTGGGATAGGCTCCAGCACCCCCCTTGACCCAGGGGGATAAATGGTGTAGATAATCCATGTTTGTGTGGTTCTATTAAGAAAAGTTCAAAGCAAATTTAAATGTATACATTAATCTGGCAAGTTTTGTGTTGCTTATTTTGTTTTGCACTGGTGCTACAAGGCTAATGTTGCTAACAAGTAATGGAAGCGATGAAATATTGCCCACCCCTACTACCAACCATCCTGAAGCCTGAATTCCATGCTATTCCATTGATGGTTTATATGTCGCCATAATTACAAAGTTGCATCGTTCTGAAAATCCATTCCTGGTCTTTTATGTTTTGTGCAACTTATTAGGGGTTTAATAATTACCTGATAAGTTGAATCAGGTTGGATAAGCCTATGCAGCTCTGAGAAACTCCAGGACAGGATTTTGAGAAACCTGCTTTAAGCACACCGAGGCTGTAAACTTCATCATAGAGTTTATTTTTCAGTGGTTGGAGAACACATGGAGTTGCTTGGAGTACCATCCATGCGTCAAGTCCAGCAATACTCTATGCTCTTTTATTTGCAAAACCCTAGTTAATGTTGCCTGTGTGTGCAGAGTGATATGTTGCCAGTGTTGGTTGGAGTCAGGCCACTAGTGGCACTTCACATACGTGCATCAGCCAAACACGCAACCTCTGAGGTGTTCCACACACCTCTTTTCGTTTTCTTTTCAGCAGTCCTTGTCGCTTCTCCCAACTCCTGGCTCCTGGCTTTCTAGCACCAAGCTCGGACCTGCGCTCTTCCGAACAGCTCATTTTTTCCATCCCTCTTCGTGCTTCCATCTATTATTGAAACCAGCCAGGCAGACCCTTCCCCCCCATCTCCTTTACTCCCACCAACATGCCTGAATTATGCATGCTGAGTTACAGCAAGAGGGATTCGCCCCATCCCCTGCCCTGACCTACATAACCCCTGTAGCCCAGGGCGTGATCCGTCCTGCAAATCCCGGCCAGACTCACCAACCCCCCACCGCCTGCTGAGACCAGCCCAGAGGCCTCCGCAGCCCGACCCCATCGCTCTACTCAATTGTCCGACGGGGGTCCAATGTCGGCGACTCGCCCCGATCCCTGGACGCTTAGCCTTGGGGGCTCCCCCCACGCGTTCTCTTACTGTGAGACACAAAGGATGAGAGAGCGCCTGCTGCCTGGAATGGGAAAATGCAGCTTGCCAGCATTGACGTTATTCCCAAGACTGATGCGTCATCTGGGCTAGAGCTTCTCAACTCCAGTGCTTGGGATGCTCTACCTTTAACAGTTTCCAGTTGTCCCTGCTCAGGTCATCAGCAAATTATCCAAGACCTTCATGAGCTTGGGGAAGGGAATGGCTGTAGGTCTGCAGGACCACTGATCTAGGCCAAACTGGCTACAGTAATGAAGGATGTCCTCGTCCACACTAGCTTGTGTGATGAGGACAGACATGGCAGTTGTTGTCCATCTCTGTAGCGAGGTGGGGGATTCCTTATCCCGTCAGAAACATGAAGTAATTAATCTTTTGTTCCTACGAACCAGAACTCAGCATGACCACTCTTGCGCTTGGGCTATTAATTGCTAAACCGACAGAGAGAATGAGCAAGAAGGTCACGGGTTGAAATCCTAACACTCAAGTAGAAAAGACTGTTGGTTAGGATGTTTTCTTTTCGTGACATAGCCGAATATGTCTGAAGAAACAGTTCTAAAAGTCAAATGGCTCTCGTCCAGAGGTGGGCAGTATGACAATAATTATATATGTAAGCTTTTCTGAAGATACAGTCGTGTGTAAAGGTGGTCCTGGTCAAATTTTATGTTTTCCTAATTCTCTAAGTGAAAATAAGTTGATACCTCCTCTACACACATAATGTATTGCAGAATTGCTATTTGCTGAATCCCCAATATTGGGCAAAAATGGTTTTGGCACAGTTTATATTTTATGTTTTTTTTTCCAATATGTTCAACAAGAAATTGTGCACTAAAATTTGCCGAAAAGTTTGTTCCCTGTAGAGAATGTGTTAACTCATTTTCACTTAAAAAATCAACAAGATTTTTTTAAACTTTCAAACTTTTGCATACGTAAATATTGTGGATATTGTCAGTACTTGAAGAAAACTGACCAACTACATGCTCCATTCTGGAGAGTTCATAGCAACCACCCCTACTGTTGTCCAAAACAAGAGTGCTTCTAATGTCAAGTCAACATATCTGTTTGAATTGCATCTGAATTCTGGTCTTACACTTGTTCAAATTCCTTGTGCTTAATTTTTAATGAGGGAATTGTGCTTTATTAGGGATGTCCAGATCAGGTTTTTTAAGGGGCTAAACATGATAACTGATTCATTTTGCTGATATATTTTAAGATTTATGTATTAGATTTGAATGTTTTATTCCAGTAGTTAAACAGTGCTTTACTGACACATATGATTGTCAGTTCTCAGTAGTAACACTTTCAACTGTAGTTCACAGCAGAGCTAAATTATACAAACATTGTAGCACTGGGTGTGAAGTTACCCGGAATTCTTTGTAGTATCAGTTTCTGTTTATTACCTTTCATTTTTCAGTTTTGTATACAAACTCATACTGCAACCAGAAAATGTTGGCTTATCATCAATACTGCACTACAGCATTGTGCATCGGCCAACTAACCAATCGGTTGGGCCCTAATTAAGACATCCTTAGCCTTTTTGCCTGTTCTGTAAAATGACACAGTAAAGTGTTGCCAGCTAACAACCCTCATCTCTCTCTGCCTCCTCTAGATGCCATGGGTCTGTCAGATGTGGCCCATGTGGAGAGCATCCAGGAGAAGTCACAGTGTGCCCTAGAGGAGTACGTACGGAACCAGTACCCCAACCAGCCCAATCGGTTCGGCCGTTTGTTGCTGCGGCTACCCTCGCTGCGCATTGTATCCTCACCTGTCATCGAGCAGCTCTTCTTTGTGCGTCTGGTGGGCAAGACCCCCATCGAGACCCTTCTGAGGGACATGCTGCTATCCGGCTCCAGCTACAACTGGCCCTACATGCCCGTCCAGAGGGACCGCCCCATCTCCATCCACTACAACGAGAACGGACCCTGATCCTGCCTCCTTGGTGGGGTCACGGCCAATAGTTAGACTCTGTCTGTTGGCCACGCCCCCTCCAGTACCCAATCAGCCCCACTTGCTTTTCTGACGCTCCAGGCGTCCGTTCCGTGGTCAGGAATGGAACTCGCTGTACTTAGGCCGGCCTTTCAGAGCCTTCGCCTACTTTCTGAATTGCGATGTTTACGATCTCCGTGACTTGAGGACTCTCCTGCAGCACTGACTCAAAAGGGCTGAGTCCATTCCTGATTTTCAAACAAACCAGAAGCCATTAAAGCCGATGCCAAAATGTGTTGCTTTTTTTTTGTTGTTGTTGTTTTTGACATTTTAAGAAAAGCTATTGTCTGTACTGGGGTGGGGGCTTGAAGACTGAAGCCAGGTTTAAAGAAACTCAAGACTGTGTCCGTATGGGAGTGGAGAAAATAGGGTGCAGGAACAACTGCAGCAGCTGAATTTGCGAGAAGGTTTGATAGAGGTTAACAGTAAACCCCGCCCCCCCCCCGGCGAAACAGAGGGGTCAGCGAGACTCTGAATACGCTGAAGCCATTGCCAAAGCAGAAACGGCATATGAACTGTGTGGAACCTTTTGCCTGTATTGGCCACAAAAGTCTATTTCGGTTTGTCTCGACGTTGACACTTGTGTTTTAAATCTCTGAAGGAGTTCGAAGATGTGAAAGAGGCACTTGATATTCGAAACCAGCCAGGCACCCCCCTCTCTCTCTATGCTCTTTTCAGCTACCACCAAAAATTCAGCACGGCTAGATAGACACACTGTAGTTGCCATGTAAGGTCTGTCTGTAGTGCTTACTGTAAGTTTCCGATTTCTTGTTCCTTTTTATCAAGGAAAACACTGAAACGTATATCAGAACCTCAGCGAAATGTATAGTCGGCTCTTGAGGCCAAGGTGCCTCTGCTGTATGTAGCAATAGATATATCTCAAGTATTTTGTTATCCTTCTAGCAGTTCGTTTGACTATGTCGAAATCCAGTCGTCACGGTTTTTAACATGGCACTACAGCTTTTCGAAGGCAACGTTTGGATCTTTAAGCCATAGGGGCCTTGGAAAGCAGGACCTGTTGTATTAGTTCACAGAATATTTCTATAAGAGTTTTTTTCCTGTATTTTAGGTTTGAAAAAAATGAATCCATGGAATAAAAGCTGTTGTTCACAAAACTCTGTCGTCTTGTCATAGTCTGCATGAAGCTTTATAGATGAAGGCTGTGTACGATACTAAAGGCAGCTGCCTTGATGCCTTGCCTTGCTGCAGCAATACACAATACACCAACAAAGCTAGTGATTAGCTGTGTTAGATGTCAGGGTTCTTTCACCCAGAAAAACTGTATTTTACAAATACATTTTGGTATTTAACATAAATGTAACATTTGTGTCACAGAAAGAAGCTCTGATGCTGAAAAATCACCATTTCACAAAGGTTGTGGTACATAAACAGTAGTTTATGATGAACGTTAGCTCACATTAGCTAAACTGGTCATGAAAACAGTTATCAGTTATTAAAAATGAAAATGTGAATGAATCACGTGCGTCACGTGCATCATCAGCAAACAAACTAACGAGCAGAACGAGCTTCACTGAGAAGATAATTAACTGATCATCAGCCGTTCATTATTAGAGCAAGACGAAGGTGAAAAAGGTGAAATGTGTTGCTTTTCCACCGTTTACAGGCTTTAACTTCTGTTAAAGCTGCCATGGTAACGCTGAATGATGGCACATGTGCCGTGGAAAAAAAGCACGTGAATTCCGATCTGAGCGTCACATTAAGGTCACATGGCCACGAATCGGATACGTATCCGATCTAGGACCACATATGAAAGTGGCTCAGGTCGGATTTGTGCGTCCACACAGCCCTGAAAACATCAGAGCTGAGTCAAATTAGAAAATCAGATTTGTGCCACTTCAAAATGGTAATGTGAACATAGCCATAATTGTATTCAGAGTACTTTATGGGTCATTCCTTCCAAGTACAATCTCAGTCTGTTATGTAATTGAAGGGAAGGTGAGTGTCAATGATGTTTTGTTTTGTATTTCCACCCAATGATTTTAAGGTCTTATAAAGCCTGCAATATATCATTGGACCGTTTTTTTTTGTGTGTCCACTGTGGTTGTTTGTCATGACACAAATGTTCATGCTCATAATTTGAAAGTGATAAGATTTAGATGCTTATATGGTGATTATTATTCAATTTAATTAAGTTCAAAATTGACCTTGATAGTTCAGGTTCTTAGTGGTATTAAGGATAATTGATCATATCATCATTTTAGACAAATCTCTATTCTCTAATCTTGCATTAACACATAATGACGTTTGCTCCGTCCCGAAACATCTAAATTTTGATTACTTCACTGTGCGGGGAACATTAATATTAACCCATAATATGAGAGAAAAAGCTCAGCTAGCCCCAAGAGCACATTTCACCCGAATATACATCACGAGAAGAAGTAGAAGCAAAATACATTATGATTTTCCATTTACACTGACTAAAGATGTACATCAGTTCTTTTGGTATCTATATTTATATTATATGAAGGCTTTTATGTTGATTGACCTATCAGTCGGAATACCGAACGATTATTGGGTTTCATGCAAACGCTGCCATTGTTGGTACAGGCCCCCACTGTAGAGTTCTGTTCCTCTCCTTCCCCCACTGTCCTCTTCTGGTGGCCTTGAGTCTTCTGGCCCCTCCCAGGCCATAGAGCAGCTCATATGAGGATGACTTATGCCTTCATTTCAAAGTTGTCAGTCGCAGGCTGACACAGTGACCTAGCCAGTTCTGCCCCACAATATGTTTCAGCCTCATAAATATAAAACACATGTGTTACAGAGCCCATAGCAGGGTGTTGGAGACTGTGCCTATAGTTGAACTGCATACTGAAGTGGAACCTGATAGCCAAGCATTTCATTGAAATATATATAAAAGGTCTATTCTGTCCTCTCATTTTCTGTCAGTTTTTATGGGAAACCCTTAGAGGGTGTAGAGTTATTGCTGTCAGTCTTGCTATACATTCCATTCGCCCTGCAGAACTGTATGCAATTGTAATTACATAACTGGCATACAGTACCTTGCAAAAGTTTAGTTCTTTCAATTTTTAATTTTCTGGAGTTTCACAAATGATTAAAAGATACAGAGAAAACGGGACTCCTACACTCCCGGAAAAAAAGGTACTAAACTGTCACTGGGGCAGTACCTCTCTTGTCACTGGGGTGGTACCTCAAGTGTACATCTCAGTACTGTTAGTCAGGGAACATAATTATACCATAATCCATTGAAATGATATATATTTTCTAAGTTGTATTGACTCTACACACCCCGTCTCGTCTCCAGGCTTTTTATTTTATTGTTCTGTTTTAAAACAGTAGATTATGAAAAGGTACAAATACATACTTTTCACCTGGAAAACTTATTTAAGGTACACAGTTGGACCTTAAAACCACTGTTGTACCTTGGAGGGAACATTTACATTGTTTGTACCTTGATGAATGATGAAAAAGTACCTGCACAGAACCTTTATTTCTAACAGTGTAACGACCACCTGGAAGGCCAGTCATAAAAGCTGTCCCCGTCAGATAAACAGCACTTAAAGCTTTCTAAATCCACAGGTGTTTCTGTCCATCCTTCCACTGTGAGAGGACAACTCAGTGCTATGACTTTTAAAGAATGTAAAGAAGGCGTAGCTGTCAAGAAGCCCTCACTGAGAAAGGAAAAGACAAGAAAAAAATTCAACCAACTTTTAAGACTGAACTTTGAAGACATGCAACAATATTCCTGCAGGAACTGAAACTGAAAGCTAGTCTACTGAAAAGAATAGAAGCTGTGATAAAGATAAAGAGTGGACACATTAAATACTGAAACATTTGATATTAAATTGTTGAGGCATCTGTGTAATCATCTGCAAAATATGTCATCCCAGTCCAAAAAATAGCAAATATCCATTTTTTTCATTTTTGTTAATTTGCATGATGAATGGACCAATAGAATTGCTCCAAAATTGTTTGGAATAAAATCTCTTTACATTAACTTACATTAAATGTAAAGAAGGTTTTTTGCACCTTCTCTACTAATTTGGGGTAGTAACAATGATAACGTTCCCACTTTTTGGACAACGAGGTAAATTTTTCCAGATTTTTTTTTCCAGATTTTTTTTCCAAAAAAACTTGTACTCACTGGCTGTTTTGACCGGAAATTAAAAAAAAAAAACTTTTGCTCTGTATTCTAGTTAGTCACACAAATAAATTACATCTACAATCCGTTTACATCCTTTACCATTTTTTTTCCACTTGTTTTGATGTCAAACAATAATAAAGACATAACAATAACTTTTTAAACTTTTTTAAATTTAAAGTGCCTATTTTATGAAAAAAATTCCTTACTTTTTTTTCTAAATGAAAGCATTTAATATAGTACGTAAACATTCCTAAAGTTTTAAAAACCTTCACTCTCCATCCATATAGTCCATAAATGGGAACATATTTACATATATCCACCTATTCAGCCTACAGCAGTTTAGCCTCACGCTGAAGTTATAAGGAGTGTTTTAGCCTGGACTGCTTTCTGAATGAGACACAATGCAGGGCAGTCAGAACAGACTTCATTTAAATATGTCAGTCTTAAAGGCACAGAGACAAAAAGGAAAACGGATTCTATGGAAACAGAAAGTTTGAAAAAATGGACGTAAAAGTTTTTGGTGCAGTCATAACGCATTTTTGGTGTAAAAGTGTCTAAAAGGTGGGCCTCCTCCTACTTACATAAACAAAAGTTTAGAATACATGGAAACTTTTTGCCAGAATTTCTCGCTTTTATCAATGAAATACAACTGAGACATAACAAAACAAGCATGAAGATCGTTTTATAGCAAATCCGACACACGAGTCATTAATTGAGGTACACTCAAATGGTTATAGTGGAGAACACCGAGCGCCAGCCAATGGCCAGAATGTCAAATCCAGTGTCCCTGGATATAAATCACTCATGGTTGACATTAATTGTCCCAGACCCCACCATCCCAAACAAACAGCGCCTGTGTCTGCCAGCAATGGGGACGCAGTCTCTCACGTTTAACCCCGACACCTCGATCTGTTATGACACGATTTCAATTTAGCCAGAGATGTGGGTGGACCTAAACGATTGTGAGTCTGGGAGGGCACGGCTCCAACAGGGATCCATCCCGCATGCTAAGTGGATGAATGAAGATGCCCTGCGGCTATCGCTTTTAAACATGAACGCTAGCCACAAGGGCGAGCCGCCCCCGTCTCTGGGGGATTGACCAGCCCCGCGGTGTCCAGATCAATAGGCAAATTGAATTGAGGTCACTGTTTGTCCATAAGGGGTCCTGCTTTTCTGGCTGACTGTCAAAAAGGCAGCTGGGACGATTGGAGGGGGGGTCAGAGTATTCCTCCGATGAGCACTCTCTTCTTTAATCTTGAGATAGACAGATGGAGATAGAGAAAGACACAAGGAGGACACGTCCCTGGAAAGCGTCTGGGAGATCCTATGAGGAATCTCTTTCAGGACATAAGTGAACAATGTATTGTCATGCTTTTTTTCAAGATACTTACATTATGGACCAATAGAAATGGCCGATTAAATCTTACAACATTTGCCAACATTGAAGGAGTGGTTTCACAAAAAATCGAATTTACACAATTTTCCACTTAGCCCAGATGTAGAGGGTCAGCCAAGATATGTTTGGTGTCCAAATTTTGCTTCTTTAGTTTAGCACTGGAGCTACTAAGATAATGTGGCTAACAAACACTAGGAGTCAATGGTCATCCAAATCTTCTCTCCAAGGCCCATATACCATTTCGCCCCTTGCCTCTACCTCTCAGCCCTTAGCCCTCTGTTTTGCATGTTCATGCCTAGAGGTAGGGTGTCCTAATTCTTGTTGAGATAGAGGGGTAGGGTGAAGTGTTTGGGCTACATGGCCCTCCAAATGGAGGTTTTTCAGAGACTCACTCCAAACAGAGTGTCATGAGAAAAAAAGAAAAACTGGCAACTGTTAAAAAAATATTTTCTTAGTTTAATGTTCTTTCAATGTATTATGGTCCTTTTCTTCATAAGAAGCATAAAAAAATGCTAGTAGTATGGTAATGTCTTGGCAGCTAGCTAGCTAAACTTCCTGTTCCACCTTAAATGGTCATATTCTGGTGCTTCAGGTGT